TTTTAATAATACTTGGTCACTGTTTGCCCTTTCTGTTGTCTTTGTTGTGCCTTAGTAGTCATTTCGTGTGTCTTTTTGTTGTTTTCTGTGTTTCTGTGTTTATGCGTTTATGCGTTCGATGATTTTGAGCCTTTTTGTGTCAACTTGTGCTACATTACATCACATGTCACTTGTTAGACGCTTTTCTCCAAAGCGACTCACAGACTCAACACTGAGGACGATCCCCACAGGAGCACTTTGGGGTGAAGCGTCTCAGGGACACAACAACATGCTGACTGCAGTGGGGTTTGAACCTGTGACCCCAACACATACGCACAACCCACTGCGCCACACGCCTCCTGCTAAATTAGACTCTTTGTGTACCTTTGTAGTCATTTTGCATAGTTGTTGGTCAATCTGTGTCTCTTTGTTTTATAAGTGTATTTGTGTGTAGTTGTGTGTCTGCTTGGGTTTTCTGTCATTCTTTGTGACTTCTGTCTCTTTTGTACTTTTCTAGTCATTCTTCATCTTTGTGGTGATTATGTGTCTCACTGTAGTTGTTTGTGTGTCTTCTTGTGTCTCTCTGTGGGATAATTTTGTGATGTTGTGGTAGTTAGTTGTGTATTTGTAGCGGTTTAACCTCTTTCTGTTGTCTTTTTTAATCAATCAATGTTTATTTATAGCCCAATATCACAAATGTTACATGTGTCTCAGTCGTCTTCACAGTGTGTACAGAATATCAGTAGAGGATGTTTCCTGGTCATTTTGTGTCTCTTTGTTTGTTGGTAATTGTTAGTGATTAGGTGTCTCTTTTGTGGTGATGAATTGTTGTCAGGTGTCTTCGTCGTCAAATTGCATATTTTTCACCCTTTTTTGTGTCTTTGTAGAGTTGTTGTGTCTCTTTCCCCTTTATCCTGAGGGTTGCTGGCATCAGTCATTAATGCATCCATGATCAATGGAGTTTAAAGGACGTAAATATATCTTAGTTTCCACAACACACCTGTTTATAGCACCATTTTCAGCCTCACAGGCGTTCTGTTAGTTTCACTCATCAGCCAATAGGAGGCCGGACCTGGACTTCCTTATTTGGACATTAACATTTTTATTATCCGTCCACTTCCTGCTGCAGACTTCTCCTCTTCTCAGTCTCACAGAGATACCAAGTCTATGTTTTCTTTAGCTCTTTTGCATCTCAATAACTTTATTTACACAGGTATTTTATGTACTATCAATATAAAGTGCCAAACAAAACCATTCTGTCTCATTGTAGTATTTATTTTGTCTTTTTGTTCAGAATCAAACTGTGCATACAGACCACAAATAAGAGGACATTTGTTTGTGTATTGCTTCCTGCATTCGGCCCAAAGTGAATAAAAACAAAGGCCTTAAACGTTTTTTTCTATTTATTTGTCTTATAATTTATGTCTTTCTCGTGATGTTCATCAAACCAATAATCTAACAATCTTTGTTATTTCTAATAACCTCTACTTTTAATTTCACTTGTCTATTCAAACGTCTATTGTCCTTTATTGTGTATTTCTATTGTTTACACGTGTTTCTTTACAAAGAAACTACAGCCCGGTCCCATGACCTCACGTCACCACCGCTAAGCTAAAGGTGGCTAATGTTGGGCTATAAAGGAACTACAGCACGGTCACATGACTTCACGTCACCACCGCTAAGCTAAAGGCGGCTAATGTTGGGCTATAAAGGAACTACAGCACGGTCACATGACTTCACGGCACCACCGCTAAGCTAAAGGAGGCTAATGTTGGGCTATGAAGGAACTACAGCACGGTCACATGACTTCACATCACCACCGCTAAGCTAAAGGAGGCTAATGTTGGGCTATGAAGGAACTACAGCACGGTCACATGACTTCACATCACCACCGCTAAGCTAAAGGAGGCTAATGTTGGACAATAAAGGAACTACAACACGGTCACATGACTTCACGGCACCACCGCTAAGATAAAGGTGGCTAATGTTGGGCTATAAAGGAACTACAGCACGGTCACATGACTTCACGTCACCACCGCTAAGCTAAAGGTGGCTAATGTTGGGCTATAAAGGAACTACAGCACGGTCACATGACTTCACGTCACCACCGCTAAGCTAAAGGAGGCTAATGTTGGGCTATAAAGGAACTACAGCACGGTCACATGACTTCACGTCACCACCGCTAAACTAAAGGTGGCTAATGTTGGGCTATAAAGGAACTACAGCACGGTCACATGACTTCACGTCACCACCGCTAAGCTAAAGGCGGTTAATGTTGGGCTATAAATGAACTACAGCACGGTCACATGACTTCACGTCACCACCGCTAAGCTATAGGAGGCTAATGTTGGGCTATAAAGGAACTACAGCACGGTCACATGACTTCACGGCACCACCGCTAAGCTAAAGGTGGCTAATGTTGGGCTATAAAGGAACTACAGCACGGTCACATGACTTCACGGCACCACCGCGAAGCTAAAGGTGGCTAATGTTGGGCTATAAAGGAACTACAGCACGGTCACATGACTTCACGTCACCACCGCTAAGCTAAAGGTGGCTAATGTTGGGCTATAAAGGAACTACAGCACGGTCACATGACTTCACGTCACCACCGCTAAGCTAAAGGTGGTTAATGTTGGGCTATAAATGAACTACAGCACGGTCACATGACTTCACGTCACCACCGCTAAGCTAAAGGAGGCTAATGTTGGGCTATGAAGGAACTACAGCACGGTCACATGACTTCACATCACCACCGCTAAGCTAAAGGAGGCTAACGTTGGGCTATAAAAGAACTACAGCATGGTCACATGACTTCACGGCACCACCGCTAAGCTAAAGGCGGCTAATGTTGGGCTATAAAGGAACTACAGCACGGTCACATGACTTCACGTCACCACCGCTAAGCTAAAGGTGGCTAATGTTGGGCAATAAAGGAACTACAACACGGTCACATGACTTCACGGCACCACCGCTAAGCTAAAGGTGGCTAATGTTGGGCTATAAAGGAACTACAGCACGGTCACATGACTTCACGTCACCACCGCTAAGCTAAAGGAGGCTAATGTTGGGCTATAAAGGAACTACAGCACGGTCACATGACTTCACGTCACCACCGCTAAGCTAAAGGTGGCTAATGTTGGGCTATAAAGGAACTACAGCACGGTCACATGACTTCACGTCACCAACGCTAAGCTAAAGGCGGTTAATGTTGGGCTATAAATTAACTACAGCACGGTCACATGACTTCACGTCACCACCGCTAAGCTATAGGAGGCTAATGTTGGGCTATGAAGGAACTACAGCACGGTCACATGACTTCACATCACCACCGCTAAGCTAAAGGAGGCTAATGTTGGGCTATAAAGGAACTACAGCACGGTCACATGACTTCACGGCACCACCGCTAAGCTAAAGGTGGTTAATGTTGGGCTATAAATGAACTACAGCACGGTCACATGACTTCACGTCACCACCGCTAAGCTAAAGGAGGCTAATGTTGGGCTATGAAGGAACTACAGCACGGTCACATGACTTCACATCACCACCGCTAAGCTAAAGGAGGCTAACGTTGGGCTATAAAAGAACTACAGCATGGTCACATGACTTCACGGCACCACCGCTAAGCTAAAGGCGGCTAATGTTGGGCTATAAAGGAACTACAGCACGGTCACATGACTTCACGTCACCACCGCTAAGCTAAAGGAGGCTAATGTTGGGCAATAAAGGAACTACAACACGGTCACATGACTTCACGGCACCACCGCTAAGCTAAAGGTGGCTAATGTTGGGCTATAAAGGAACTACAGCACGGTCACATGACTTCACGTCACCACCGCTAAGCTAAAGGAGGCTAATGTTGGGCTATAAAGGAACTACAGCACGGTCACATGACTTCACGTCACCACCGCTAAGCTAAAGGTGGCTAATGTTGGGCTATAAAGGAACTACAGCACGGTCACATGACTTCACGTCACCACCGCTAAGCTAAAGGCGGTTAATGTTGGGCTATAAATGAACTACAGCACGGTCACATGACTTCACGTCACCACCGCTAAGCTATAGGAGGCTAATGTTGGGCTATGAAGGAACTACAGCACGGTCACATGACTTCACATCACCACCGCTAAGCTAAAGGAGGCTAATGTTGGGCTATAAAGGAACTACAGCACGGTCACATGACTTCACGGCACCACCGCTAAGCTAAAGGTGGCTAATGTTGGGCTATAAAGGAACTACAGCACGGTCACATGACTTCACGTCACCACCGCTAAGCTAAAGGTGGCTAATGTTGGGCTATAAAGGAACTACAGCACGGTCACATGACTTCACGTCACCACCGCTAAGCTAAAGGCGGTTAATGTTGGGCTATAAATTAACTACAGCACGGTCACATGACTTCACGTCACCACCGCTAAGCTAAAGGAGGCTAATGTTGGGCTATAAAGGAACTACAGCACGGTCACATGACTTCACGTCACCATCGCTAAGCTAAAGGTGGCTAATGTTGGGCTATAAAGGAACTACAGCACGGTCACATGACTTCACGTCACCACCGCTAAGCTAAAGGCGGTTAATTTTGGGCTATAAATGAACTACAGCAAGGTCACATGACTTCACGTCACCACCGCTAAGCTAAAGGTGGCTAATGTTGGGCTATGAAGGAACTACAGCACGGTCACATGACTTCACATCACCACCGCTAAGCTAAAGGAGGCTAACGTTGGGCTATAAAAGAACTACAGCATGGTCACATGACTTCACGGCACCACCGCTAAGCTAAAGGCGGCTAATGTTGGGCTATAAAGGAACTACAGCACGGTCACATGACTTCACGCCACCACCGCTAAGCTAAAGGAGGCTAATGTTGGGCGTGATGACGTTTAGTCGTTTAATCTTCAGCTTGTGTTAACCACAGACCTTATTACAAACGTACAACCAAAATTCTCTTCCAGGCCAGGAAGTGGTAAAATGCTGACTAACGAGTCACTAGCAAACACTTTTTTAAGCATTAGAGCATTTTTCTCCATAAACTGAACCCATTTGCAGTTTCAGATTATGATGTGTTTGAGCTGCCATGCTTGTTTCTTAAGGTTTCGGTGTGAAAAGCAGCAGGTCTCTTTTTCTACATGTTTTCTGAGGCGTGGCTGAACCATCCTCATAATCAATGCTGAGTGGGAGGCGGGGGGAACTACAGGGAGCGGCTCATTTATGGCCCCCAGAGAGGGTAAAGTTCTCCGGTTAGAGATACAGACGTCACATTAACAACGGCAGAGGAACAGACTGACTTTTCCGTCTCCGGCTTCACCACCAAACAAAGGCCCTGCGACCTGCCATTGTTGAAGGCTTTTTTTCTTATTTAATTTGGATTTGTTCTTCTTTGCCACCATGTCGACGGCTGTGGAAGCGGTCGGGTTCATCATGTGCATCATCAGCTGGTTGATCACCGGATCAGCACTGGCCAACGACTACTGGAAGATCTCCTCGGTGTCCGGCAGCGTCATCATCTCTCAGAGGCAGTTTGAGAACCTGTGGCATTCCTGCGCCGAAAATAGCGCCGGAATCGCCGAGTGTCGAGACTTCGAGTCGCTGCTCGCCCTCCCCGGTAAGTCAAAGTTTGTGTGTACAGACAGAGAGATCGAAATACCGTTTCCCACAATCCCGAATACAAAAATACAAATATATATAAAATGATGTAAACTAATATTTATATCCTATCAACACACAATCAACATATACAAAATATCAGTCACTTAAGACCAGGACACAGACCCTTTTATAAAATGGAGAACATAAGATAAGATAAGATGGACCTCTATTGATCCCCGTAGGGAAATTAAGGTGTTGTAGCAACAACAGAACAAGACAGAATCAAAGATAGTACACATGGAATTATAAGAATACAAAATCAGTTATAAGCCTACCAATAATATTTACAACCTTTTACGTTTTATAAAATGGGGAACGTAACTTACCAACAAGATGGCGCCGTGTCTTTTGCTCCTCTCAAACTCGTCTTTTTCAAAGATTCAATTCAAGACTCAAAGGTGTTATTGTTATTTGCTCAGCAGCTACAGAGATGACCTGAGCTCCTCCAACAATGCAACATATATAATAAAATACAAAATAAAGTGCAAAAAGTCTATATAGACGTAAAAAGAATATGATATGTACAAGAACAGAATATGAAATAAAATAATGTAAATCAAGCAAAGATAAGATGGACCTCTATTGACCCCCAGGTGTTGTCGCAGCAACAGAACAAGACAGAATCAAAGATAGTACACATGGGATTAAAAGAATAAAATAAGGAACCTACCGATTATATTCACAAGTTGGTAAAAAAGTTTCCCAACACTAACAAATAAAACTCATTAGAGTAAAAGGCAAAGAGTTATGAAACACAGGAGAGCTGCTAACCCTGTAAGTGTCCAAGTCTTATCGAGGATATAGAGGTTGGGAACTGTTGTTGGTCAAATATGAATAAGATCAAACGAACACTTTATTCAGCCATTTCTCCGCCTATTAACTCCCATTCTTTTTTTCACAGTCCCTAAATTGCCCAAATTTTACATTTAGCAACATCGCTATTGAATCTGTCTTTTCAGTAGTTTCATCATCCGTCACTTTTTTAAATTATTGGTTCACACATTTGGAAATTAAATCGTCTGCAATTTTTCGTTTTTCTTCTATTTCTTCACAATCTTTTTTTCCTTCTTTTTAAACGATCGTCAATTTAATTTGTCCTGTTCTTTACTTATTTCTTCAGATTCCCATACAATAATAATAATAATAAAAGTGGCAGGATATATTATCAAAACAATGACGAAAAAGCATTTTTTATAAGTAAATAACTGGCATAAAACAATGACAAAAATATCTATAACTTTTTGTTTACTCAAAAAAAAAATCAGTGGGAAAAAATATATAATTGTAAACTGATGAGGTGATTGAAGTTGAACTTGATTGGACATGGGGCCATAAGGCTGCTGAATGAAGTCAATAATCACCAAGTTTCAGGTTCGGATAGCAAAGAAGGTTAAAAACATAATTAACTTTCAGCTTGTTGATCAGCGGAGCTTCTAACTCTTATCAAATGAGTGTTTTCTGCATATTTAAAAGCATGGTGGCACCACCTCGTCCAAAGGTTGATCGATTTACAGCCACAAGTTTCCCGCCTGAAACTGAATGAAGTCACTGCTTATTCAAGTTTATTACAAAGAAGACTTTATACATAGCATGTTTAATTATACATATTAGTTAATTTACTTTACAGCGAGACTGTTTTCTTCCAGCCGTGATGCTTCTGTAGGATTATCTCTTGGGCGCCATTTTGAGTCTCTTCCTCCTCTGGCAGTAAAATGGAGGGAAACTCCATCTCGATGTTTTACAGTCGCTTTACTTTCACTCTCATTTAGTTTGATATGGATTTAAGAACGTATTCAGTCAAAGGAGTGCCATAAAAACAAGAGTATACATTGACAAAAATATGAAATAATTGTTGAAATTAAATAATATAATACATATACATCAAACTAGTGGTAAATAACATGTCAATAATAAAATGAAAAATATGTAAATAAAATGTAGAGAGAAAAAAACTCAAAACACGAAATAATAACAAAGCTTTTAATTTAATGTCAAATGGCATATAAATAACTTTTTTTACATTATTTATTCTTTATTATATGTAATTGATTTATTTTGAATCCCTTTATTTTTCCTTATGAATGAACTTTATTCACTTATAAATAGGGATGGGTATCGTTTGAAATTTATCGATTCCGATTTCGATTCCGGTTCTGCTTATCGATTCCGGTTCTTATCGATTCCCCGTTTCGATTCCAAAATTGTAAAATAAAGAGGTCAAACGTTTAGATAACAAAAATATATTTATTCTTAAAAGCTTTAACTGAAATTGTTACTAAAAAATATACATGCAATACAAATGTATTGCACAATAGCTGTGCTTTCTTTTAACTGAGCTATGCCTGTGGCAAGCTATTAACAGGCATTACACTTTCCCTTTCCTTTTTCTTTTTTAGTGTAGTGGAGCCTCACTTCAGAGTGTTTACCGCGACCTATCTTTGGTGTTATGAAGTGACTGAGCTCGTGAAATGTCTACGGGAGGGCGGGGGAGCATCGCTGCGGGGCAACTGTGGACCTCTGTCGCCTGTCAGCGCAATTGATATGATGCCGTTTAAAAAAAATGAAGGGCGGTGCCGGCCGTCAGCGTACCGAGCCGGCCGTCAACGGCCCGCTGACGACCGGCCGTTCTGTGATTCTCCAGGTCCGCCCTGTATTCCACCGGGTCACCGCAGCACCGCGGTGCAGACGGACCCGCTGGAATACAGGGTCTACCGCGTTTAGGAACCGTTAAGCAGAACCGAAATTGTGTATTTTGTATGGGGTACCCGGTACCCGGCATTTTCTTATCGGTTCTCATCTGGAACCGAGTTTCGGTTCCCAACCCTACTTATAAAAGGTCTCTGGCCTTTGAGGGACATCCATGAGAATGTATTTATGTTTGTTGCTAAAAAGGCCCCCAACGTAGAAATGAAAACACTTGATTAGGAACCTAGATCTATAGTGTGCTCGTCAGTGGGATTATTAAACGCCATGATTCATTCTGTCTCCAGCTCACTGAAACTCTGTGAGGATCATAAAAAGGTGCGGCAGGTTTTTATGATCATTAGAGATCATCTTGTCAATAAGTTACAGCAGCAGTAACTCTCAATCATATAATGTGACTTCCACTTCCTCCTTCCCTTTTTCTACTTCAGTCTCATGTCAGGGATAAACACTAAAGGTTATGGTATATTTTAATAGTTTACTGTGTTTTAATTTGATTCCCATAATTGTATTTGTGAGAGTGATCCTCCATGTCTCCATGCTGTAATGTTCAACAAGCTCTTTATTGTTCTCATACTGTCTAGCACCTCTTTTCACCCTCTGTCTGAAACCACAGCCCAGTCTGCTCTGATTGGTTAGCAGGCTCTGTTGTGATTGGTCAACCACTTAGAGATTACATTATATTACATGACATGTCACTTGTCAACATACTCAATACTGTGGGCAATCCCCACCGGAGCAGTTTGGGGTGTCTCAGGGACACACCGACATGCTGACTGCAGTGGGGTTTGAACCTGTTGACCCCCTGATCCCAACACCAACGCACAACCCACTGCACCACACGCCTCCAGAGATGTCCCGACCATTAGCCTATCATGTACAATGTGTTGGACCGCTAGCCAATAGGAGCGTGAGTGTTCCATAGTGATGTCTATGGCCGTTTCTCAATCTCGAGGATGCTGGCTTGGTAGTCGCGTACTTCCAAGTCACTTCCTTCAGAAATGAAGCCAGTATGCTTCCAAGCCACGGCTTCGGAAAACGAAGAAGAATGGAACAGGCTAACAAGTGTGCCTCTCTAACGGTTTCAACATAAACTGTACCGAAAATAAATACCTCACGATGTCTATCTAATTATGAACTTGCTTTACTTTCAGGAACACATTTTGGGTGAAAACAAAGTCACATATTTACCAACACATGTTCTACGCCACTACATACTTACATTTCAATGTGTGCTGCGTCGGTTCAGCCATTCTCCGCAAGGGTTTTTGAAATTGGTCCGTGCGCAAAGCATTGTGGGGATTTTAAGGACGCGAAGTCTACCCATGTGCAGCCTCGAAACTTCCCCCAAACCAAGGACGCGGCCTCGGTGGAATTCCAAGTATGCTGGAGATTGGAACGGTCCTGCTGCGCCACGTGATGACGTAGCATCCTTGAAATGTTGGCTTGGAAGACCATTTACATGCATTAAAACCTATAGAAAACACTACAGGAAAGGGAAAACCCCAAAAAGCAGGAAAGGGCTTCTTTAAATACATATTCAGTATAAAGTCAGTTTACATGTGAGCTTTGCAAATGATTCGCACATTGTCTTTAAAGGACTCAAAAATAAGAAAAGTCGGTTTAAAATGTGTGTTAGGGTTTAACTTTATCCCTTTTGATGAATCAACAATGAACATTTGTGAATTTCTTTCTCAAAACCGATATCCCTTATAGGACTACATGTTTTAACACTTTTTTCAACATGCTTTGGCAATATTGTGTTTTTTATATGATCATGCCAATAAAGCTTCTTTTGAATTTTCTAAATATATCTCTCTGTCTGCAGCTCACATCCAGGCGTGTCGCGCTCTGATGATCATCTCTCTGATGCTCGGACTCGGAGGGATGGTCGTCGCTCTGCTCGGACTCAAGTGCATCAAGATCGGATCGGCCACCGAACAAACCAAGTCCAGGATGGCCGTCATCGGGGGAATCCTGAGTATCCTCGGTGGTGAGTTTCTGTTAGAAAACTCTCCCTGGTCTCCGGCTTCAGCTTCAACCTCAGGATCCATGTATCTGTGATCCTCTACAGAATGGAAGTAGTCAAATATCTCAAAATTCTGACTTTTTCTCAAAATTCTGACTTTTTCTCACAAATATCAAAATTCGGACTTTTTCTCAAATTCGGACTTTCAATGAATTCTGACTTTTTCACTAAATTCAGAATTTGTCAAAAATCTAAATTGTTCTCATAATTATGACTTTATCTAAAAATGATGACTTTTTCTCAAAATGATGACTTTTTCTCAAAATCTCAAAAATTATGACTTTTTCTGAATACTTAAAAATGTTAATAATCCCTGGTCTCCGGCTTGAACTTCAACCTCAGGATCTATCTGTGATCCTCTCCAGAATGGAACTAAACTCAAAATTCAGACTTTTTCTCAAAAAGATCAAAATTCAGACTTTTTCTTAAATATCTGACTTTTTCTTAAAAATTCGGACTTTTTCTCAAAAATTCAGACTTTTTCACTAAATTCTGAATTGTTCTCAAAATTATGACTTTTTCGAAAAAATTATGACTTTTTCTCAAAATCTCAAAATTATGACTTTTTCTGAATACTTACAAATGTTAACTCTCCCTGGTCCCCGGCTTGATCTTCAACCTCAGGATCCATGTATCTGTGATCCTCTCCAGAATGGAAGGAGTCATCACATACAGAGCATCAACTCCTGAACAGTGTCCTTCACATGCTGATATCAAGAGAGGGAGTTACACAGTCACAAGATGGAGGAATAGAAAGCAGTATTCAATGTTTACTTCAGATTAGCTCCACGTCAGAAATGAGCATGCTTGATGTCTCTCTCCATAGAGGCTGAATCATCATGTTAATCACATAGCTATCATCTGCCTCAAACAGTCCTGATGCTCTTCTAGGTAATCACACATCCTGTCATGTTCACAGCTACAGTTGGGATACCTTAGTTATCATGTTACTCTCATGTTGGAAGAGGACATTCAGGATGTTCCCAACATTTAAAGACGGCGAAAAGTCTCCATTCACAAGAGGTGGAGGGAGTATAGAGAGCTGCAGTGATGACGGTAGTTTGTACCTGAAGGCAGCATCTCCTTGGTTCCCGCCACAAAAATCCAATGGGATTTCTCCATGTGATTTTGGATTATTGCACAAGATAATCTCTGGTGTAATCATTTACACCTGATATGGGGCAAATCATTCTAAATGAGGCCATTTTAAGAACTTCATTTTCAGGATCGCTGTTGACTTTCAGAAACGTTGCAAATATAAAAACACAAATGTACAAATGAAGAAACATCTCCAGCAACTTGTCAACACATGCAGCATTTAGAGGACATTCAGCAACTTGAGGAGACATGCGAGTAACGCACACAGCTGGAGACCAGGGGACACTAAAGAGTGACGCACACAGCTGGAGACCAGGGGACACTAAAGAGTGACGCACACAGCTGGAGACCAGGGGACACTAAAGAGTGACGCACACAGCTGGAGACCAGGGGACACTAAAGAGTGATGCACACAGCTGGGAGACCAGGGGACACTAAAGAGTGATGCACACAGCTAGAGACCAGGGGACACTAAAGAGTGACGCACACAGCTGGAGACCAGGGGACACTAAAGAGTGATGCACACAGCTAGAGACCAGGGGACACTAAAGAGTGATGCACACAGCTAGAGACCAGGGGACACTAAAGAGTGACGCACACAGCTGGAGACCAGGGGACACTAAAGAGTGACGCACACAGCTGGAGACCAGGGGACACTAAAGAGTGATGCACACAGCTAGAGACCAGGGGACACTAAAGAGTGATGCACACAGCTAGAGACCAGGGGACACTAAAGAGTGATGCACACAGCTAGAGACCAGGGGACACTAAAGAGTGACGCACACAGTTGGAGACCAGGGGACACTAAAGAGTGATGCACACAGCTGGGAGACCAGGGGACACTAAAGAGTGATGCACACAGCTGGAGACCAGGGGACACTAAAGAGTGACGCACACAGCTAGAGACCAGGGGACACTAAAGAGTGACGCACACAGCTGGAGACCAGGGGACACTAAAGAGTGACGCACACAGCTGGAGACCAGGGGACACTAAAGAGTGACGCACACAGCTGGGAGACCAGGGGACACTAAAGAGTGACGCACACAGCTGGAGACCAGAGGACACTAAAGAGTGACGCACACAGCTGGAGACCAGGGGACACTAAAGAGTGACGCACACAGCTGGAGACCAGGGGACACTAAAGAGTGACGCACACAGCTGGAGACCAGGGGACACTAAAGAGTGACGCACACAGCTGGAGACCAGGGGACACTAAAGAGTGGCGCACACAGCTGGAGACCAGGGGACACTAAAGAGTGACGCACACAGCTGGGAGACCAGGGGACACTAAAGAGTGACGCACACAGCTGAGAGACCAGGGGACACTAAAGAGTGACGCACACAGCTGGAGACCAGGGGACACTAAAGAGTGACGCACACAGCTGGAGACCAGGTGACACTAAAGAGTGACGCACACAGCTGGGAGACCAGGGGACACTAAAGAGTGACACACACAGCTGGGATACAAAGGGACACTAAAAAGTGACGCACACAGCTGGAGACCAGGGGACACTAAAGAGTGACGCACACAGCTGGAGACCAGGGGACACTAAAGAGTGACGCACACAGCTGGAGACCAGGGGACACTAAAGAGTGACACACACAGCTGGAGACCAGGGGACACTAAAGAGTGACGCACACAGCTGGGAGACCAGGGGACACTAAAGAGTGACGCACACAGCTGGGAGACCAGGGGACACTAAAGAGTGACGCACACAGCTGGGAGACCAGGGGACACTAAAGAGTGACGCACACAGCTGGAGACCAGGGGACACTAAAGAGTGACGCACACAGCTGGAGACCAGGGGACACTAAAGAGTGACGCACACAGCTGGAGACCAGGGGACACTAAAGAGTGACACACACAGCTGGAGACCAGGGGACACTAAAGAGTGACGCACACAGCTGGAGACCAGGGGACACTAAAGAGTGACACACACAGCTGGAGACCAGGGGACACTGAGGAGTGACGCACACAGCTGGGAGACCAGGGGACACTAAAGAGTGACGCACACAGCTGGAGACCAGGGGACACTAAAGAGTGACACACACAGCTGGAGACCAGGGGACACTAAAGAGTGACACACACAGCTGGAGACCAGGGGACACTAAGGAGTGACGCACACAGCTGGAGACCAGGGGACACTAAAGAGTGACACACACAGCTGGAGACCAGGGGACACTAAAGAGTGACGCACACAGCTGGAGACCAGGGGACACTAAAGAGTGACGCACACAGCTGGAGACCAGGGGACACTAAAGAGTGACGCACACAGCTGGGAGACCAGGGGACACTAAAGAGTGACGCACACAGCTGGAGACCAGGGGACACTAAAGAGTGACGCACACAGCTGGAGACCAGGGGACACTAAAGAGTGACGCACACAGCTGGAGACCAGGGGACACTAAAGAGTGACGCACACAGCTGGAGACCAGGGGACACTAAAGAGTGACGCACACAGCTGGGAGACCAGGGGACACTAAAGAGTGACGCACACAGCTGGGAGACAAGGGGAGACTAAAGAGTGATGCACACAGCTGGGAGACCAGGGGACACTAAAGAGTGACGCACACAGCTGGGAGACCAGGGGACACTAAAGAGTGACGCACACAGCTGGGAGACAAGGGGAGACTAAAGAGTGATGCACACAGCTGGGAGACCAGGGGACACTAAAGAGTGACGCACACAGCTGGGAGACCAGGGGACACTAAAGAGTGACTAAAACTGTTTTGTGTGTCTGCAGGTCTGTGCTGCATGATCGCAGCTTCGTGGTACGCCTCCAGAGTCGTGGACGACTTCCATGATCCGTTCACCGGGGGCGTGAAGTGAGTCCAGAAGAAACACACAGAAACTAAAACAATTATAATAATATAAACTGTATTTTATAATCACCTTTCAACACAAAATCTAAAAATGTAAAAAAAAACTATTGTGATATTTGGAGGAAACATGTCATTATCATTCAGAGGAAAGAATTCAAGGTTGGTCGAATGTTTCAGAAAAATAAATTAAATATATTTTATTAAAAAAAGTCGAAACGATTAAGGAAAAACATCAACAATTGAAAAGTTGCTGAAGTTGCAGAAGCAGTGTAATAATGTTAAACTAGTAAATGAAATAACAAATGTTTGTCTCTCACCCTGTGTTTGTGTGTGTGGTGTGTGTGGTGTGTGGTGTTGTGGTGTGTGGTGTGTGTGTGTGTGTGTGTGTGTGTGGTGTGTGGTGTGTGTGTGGGGTGTGTGTGGTGTGTGTGTGTGGTGTGTGTGTGTGTGGTGTGTGTGTGTGTGTGTGTGTGTGGTGTGTGTGATTGTGTGTGTGTGTGTGTGTGTGTGTGTGTGTGTGTGTTGTGTGTTGTGTGTGTGTGTGTGTGTGTGTGTGTGTGTGTGTGCAGGTTTGAGCTGAGCACCGGTCTCTACATGGGGTGGGGGGGGGTCGAGTCTCTCCATCTTGGGCGGAGCTTTGCTCTGCGCGGCCTGTAAGAGAGCCTCACCTGCAGGAAAGAAAGGGTAAGCCCCGCCCCCTCACCTGAGCTTCCCTGATTTATTTACCAATTTATTTATTTACTATTTTAGTTTTTTCTCATTTTCAACTCATTGTAAACTCATTTATTATAAATAACTAATTAAATAACATTTCATCAGGTTTTTGTGGGATATTTCAAAGAAGTATATTCGAATATTTGACCTAATTTCAAAATGAAAGCTTTTAAACAAATGTTTTTCTTTCTTCTAAGAAAAGTATTTATTTCTTAGATTCTCTTTATTAATTATCGATTATTAGTATTATGAGTATTTTTACTTCAAAAAATCGTATTGACGATATTTATCGAGCTGCAGCACATTACATTTTTATTAAAATAAATGTATTTCAAAGAGTTTTTAGAGATTTGTTTTTGAGATTCCAAAATGTCTGCTTTGAAAGAAATATCTTTCTTTTTTCTCAAATTTTACAATTTCTCAAAACTTTTTCTTCTTGCTTTGCAGCTATTACGGAACCAAGCCTCAGAAAGTCTACACGGCAACAGCCAAATCTGAGCCCGATTCTTCAGCCAGAGCATACGTCTAAACACACACACACACACACACACACACACACACACACACACACACACACACACACACACACACACACACACACACACACACACACACACACACACACACACACGACATATGGACATGTCGTGTGTTTTCCGTCCTTTGTAGTGTTTGCTTATTTTTCTAAAGAGTTTTTGATGTGAAATCTGAAATGGTAAATGTTGGGGAAGACTCGTGGATGATTGTTAATGATTGTGTAATCCTGTTTGACTGTATCTAATCTGAATAAAGTCTGTGTGACATAATACACGAGGGTTTTAAAGGTAAAGTCTTCTTTCCTGTTGATGAAACACATCAGACTCAATTTGAAATGTAATTTAAGATTATTAAAAATATAAAAGAAGACATGTGACTCATTTGGTTCAGCTATGTTTGCTATTATACAATTAAATGATGTTGCAGGTAATGTGGAGTCAATGATTATAATAATAACTATTAATATTATAAATTGTATTATAGCGATTTAAAAAACAAAGACACTTCATAAAAACAGCCATTTTAAGTAACTACTTGAATAACCCCTAACTCAATACTTCTAGAACATGTGTTGTACTTTTTACTGTAAATGAAATGTACATTGTTAAAGCCAGTTTATTCACACAGCACCTTCAACACAAGGCAATGCAAAGTGCTTTACATAAAAGAAAGACATAAGTGCTTTAAGAAATAGCGCAGCAGAAACACTTTATAAAATGGCATTTAAAAACAATCATTCAAAAGCAGGGATAATTAAATAAAGATAATACAAGATCATATATAAAATACATGGATCAAAGTTACAGTGCAGTCTAAGATGTGAATAAATCAATTAAAAGCAGTGACAAAAAGAAAAGTCTTCTTGCTGGATTTAAAAGTAGTCAGAGTTGCAGCGGACCTGCAGGTTTCTGGGAGTTTGTTCCAGATATTTGGAGCATAATAACTGAACGCTGCTTCTCCATGTTTAGTTCTGACTCTGGGGACAGAAAGCTGACCAGTCCCTGAAGACCTGAGAGATCTGGATGCTTCATCATTTAGCAGGAGGTCAGAAATGTGTTTTGGGCCTAAACCATTCAGTGCTTTATAAACCAGCAGCAGTATTTTGAACAGACAGGAAGCCAGCGTAAAAGCAGCAGCGATCTAATATATCTATTTTTGAAACCTGTAAAGACACCGGTACAGACCCGGCGCCGTGGGAGGGCCAGGCTGCATTTGACATTCCTGCCCTCCCCCAATAAAGTATTTTTATTTTTTAAATTATAAATAAACTGTGAACTTTAAGGCTACGATGTATGTGATGTCAGATAGTAATATAAGAATAATAAATGAAAAACAGGTATGAAATAATATTTGACATTAAAACAAGAATACAGTTTGAACGGGGAGTGATTTGTAAAATATCCATAAAGCAAAATTAAATCTGTTTACAGTTCTGTTTTCATTTCATTTGTATTTGTCCCGCTCATGGTACGCAAAACCAAATGTACAATAATTGCCACAAAACATGACTCTACCATTGAGCGAAAAGGAGCAGGGAGAAGAATAACATCTCATGTGACCCTTTCTAAAACAAACTAATAAATACAAATAGATGCCCTTCATAATAATCTTTTTTTTCTCACAGCCAAACATAACAGTATCTTAGGACACTACGAGAAACACACAAAACAATACTTATTTCCCACTTGACGGTTAGAAAAGAAACAAAACACCAAAACATCACATGTATAAGGAAAAGAAAAGTGCAACACCCTCATCCGAGTCCTACTGGAGGAGAAGGTGGAAAGCGACGCATGATGATAATAATAACAATAACAACAATAACAATGGCAATGGGACCCGCAAATACAGAGGAGACATCACATCAAAGACATCAAAGACATGAAGGACCAGAGTACACAGACTTATTCACATCCTGCTTCATATAGTCCCATCTTTCTTCATTTATACAACTTCTTTAACTGAAAAATACAAATACAATTCTTTAGATCCTTGTGTTGAGAATTAACCAACCAACTACCGAAATACACATTTGTTTAAGAGTAGTCCTTGCATATAGATGCTTAACATGTAATTTCCTTCTGTGGTCTTCCTTGTCTGATCCAAAAACAAACAACTGTTGTAAACATGCTGGTAACATTCTGCTCTGAGCATTACTGATGATGTCTGCAGCTCAGTCTCTGAGTTTCAGGAGTCCTGACTTAAAACCAGTCTGTTGGTGTGTTCTCTTGAGTCAGCTTTATGAATTATTCTTACTGCCCTTTTCTGTAATATTGACAATGGCTTTATGTTGCTCATATACGTGTTGCCCCACACTTCTATACAATAAATGAAAAATGGCAAAATGAGTGAACAGTACAACATCCTCAATGCCTTGTAATCTAGCAAATACTTTGCCTTGTTTAGAACAGAAATATTCCTAGACACTTTGGTTTTAACATGTGCTATGTGTGATTTCCACGTCAGGTTTTCATCCAGCGTCACACCTAAGAATCGAAATTCAGAAACCCTTTCAATAAAAACTCCATCAATGGACAGTGAAATGTTTCATCATGGGTGTTGAGAGATGTATCCATAGATCTCTTAATGTTGCTCTCAAAGTGCACCAGATTGATGCTTTCAACTTCAATATTAAAACAACAATCTTCCCGGGGGAGTATGCCCCCCGGACCCCCCTAGAGAAGGTTAGGTCCCCCCCCCACTTAAAGCAAATAGCACTTTATCCCCTACACCTATGCCGTGAGCTGATTATCGAGCCTTCATTGTAACTGTCGCGGGTACACTGTGTGTGCGTGTGGGAGTGTTGCAGTATAAAACTCCTCTGTAGCGCCCGGTGCATTCATGGGAAACCCTAAATGTTTGAGCACCCTCTATGAAACGTCAAGCTACCCCACAGCACCCCCAAAAGAAAGTCTCTGGCGCCGATACTGGCCGCGGCACATGACGGTTTTGTGTGCCCTCCCATGAAAATCATATGCCCTCCCTGTAGATTTGTTCTGGCGCCGGGTCTGCACCAGTAGTTGAGTTTTAAGAGGTATATTAGACTCTTAGAAATATATAAAAAGCTTTCTTTCTTTTTTAATATATTTAAATATATTAAAAAAGAAAGAAAGATTTTAAAATATTAGTTGTAGTCAGGCTATACATTTTTAATTTGAATGCTATTTAAAACTTTAAAACAAGGCAAACTCTGCTGCAGAAACTCTCCTCTCTACTCTCTCATCCACTCTGGACTCGCTCTGTCCTCTGACATCTCGGCAGGCTCGTCAGTCCCCTCCGGCTCCCTGGCTAAATGATGCACTGCGTGCTAATAGAACCATCCTTCGGGCAGCAGAGCAGAAACGGTGGAAATCCAAACACCGTGACGACCTCCTAACCTATCAGGCTCTCCTCTCCTCTTTCTCTGCTTCGATCTCTCAGGCAAAAAGCACTTTCTTTCAAGATAAGATCCAATCTTCCTATTCCAATCCCAAAAAACTATTTTCCATCTTCTCCACCCTCTTGGACCCTCCAAAAGCTCCTCCCCCCTCCTCACTTCTGTCAAGCGACTTTGTTACCCACTTTGAAAAAAAGGTTGATGATATTCGCTCTTCTTTTTCTGACTCACCTTTACTCACCGCTGGGTCACCAGACCCTTCCTTCCACCAACACACTAACCTCCTTTTCCCCTCTCTCTCCAAGTGAGGTTCTTACCCTCATTACCTCTGCCCGCCCTACCACCTGTCCTCTGGACCCTATCCCTTCAAACCTCCTTCAGACTATCGCTCCTGATATTCTACCGTTTCTCACCCATTTCATCAACACTTCTCTAACTTCTGGTCACTTTCCAAACAGTCTCAAGGAGGCAAGAGTAAACCCTCTCCTAAAGAAACCCACTCTCAACCCGTCTGATGTTATAAACGACAGGCCTGTCTCTCTCCTCCCGTTCCTGTCTAAAATCACTTGAACGCGCTGTCTTTAAACAACTCTCCTGTTATCTCAATCATGAACAACCTTCTGGATCCGCACCAGTCTGGTTTCAAGGCAGGTCACTCCACAGAAACTGCTCTCATTGCTGTCACGGAGGAACTGCACACTGCCAAAACTGCATCCCTCTCCTTCTGTCATCATCCTGTTGGACCTGTCTGCTGCATTCGACACGGTGAATCATCAGATCCTCCTTCGCACTCTCCAAGAACTTGGAGTTTCAGGCTCTGCACTTTCCCTCCTCACCTCATACCTGAAAGACCGTACCTACAGGGTGACTTGGAGAGGGTCTGAGTCCGACCCTTGTCAATTAACTACGGGGGTCCCTCAGGGCTCTGTTCTTGGTCCCCTCCTCTTCTCCCTGTACACAAACTCGCTCGGATCAGTCATTAGCCCGCATGGTTTTTCTTACCACTGCTACGCTGACGACACCCAATTAATTCTGTCCTTTCCCCGCTCAGAGACCCAGGTCGTCGCACGCATCTCTGCTTGTCTAGCTGACATCTCTCAGTGGATGTCTGCTCACCACCTCAAGCTCAACCTTGACAAGACTGAGCTGCTCTTCCTCCGGGAAAAGATTGTCCCACTCTTGGCCTAACAATCAACATCGGCACCTCAGTTGTTTCCCCGACTCAGACTGCAAGGAATCTGGGTGTGACCCTAGATAACAACCTGTCCTTCACTGCAAACATCGCTGCTACAACCCGTTGCTGCAGATACACGCTTTACAACATCAGGAAGATACGTCCCCAGCTGACTCAGAAAGCGACTCAGGTTCTGGTCCAGGCTCTCGTCATCTCACGCCTAGACTACTGCAACTCCCTCCTGGCTGGTCTACCTGCATGTGCCATCCGACCTCTGCAGCTCATCCAGAATGCAGCGGCTCGTCTGGTCTTCAACCTTCCTAAATTCTCCCACACCACTCCGCTCCTCCGCTCCCTTCACTGGCTTCCGGTAACTGCTAGAATCCACTTCAAGACACTGGTACTTGCTTACCATGCTGCGAATGGATCTGGCCCTTCCTACATCCAGGACATGGTTAAACCGTACACCCCAGCGCGTGCACTACGCTCTGCATCAGCCAAACGACTCGTTGCGCCCTCGCTGCGAGGGGGACCCAAGTTCCCATCGGCGAAAACACGTGGGTTTGCTGTCCTGGCTCCAAGATGGTGGAATGAGCTCCCCATTGACATCAGGACGGCAGATAGCTTGCACATCTTCCGGCGCAAACTGAAAACTCATCTCTTTCGACTCCACTTCGAGCGTTAGAACTATTAACGAAGCACTTATATACTAATAAAGGATTGGATTACCTAAAGCCAGTTGAGTAGCACTTGAAATGTTTGGCTCTATGAAACCTGATGTACTTATATGATTCTGTTTTCTTCAAGGTTGTGTCTTCC